AAACAGTGCAAAATCAAACGTGGTGCAGAATGTGAATTGAAGCAATACTGATTAATAAGTGAATTAGATTAGAAAAAAAAAATTGTTTCTGGGTTTTCTGCAAAAAGTGTTCATAATTTGAAATGGACTCCATATTTATGGCACAGGGATATTAAAGTTGAAAAATTCAGCTGCAGAAGATAGATGTTCAAGAATCTTAGTCATTTAATCTTTGAAGCTACAGTATTTTAAACACTGCCAATTTAAACCCAATCTTGGAACAATAAATCATGCTGCTGCCAAGTTATTTAGCCAATTAATTTTATGTGACTAACCGCATGAAACTACTTAAGCATAGGAAAATCAAGGCAGTCCTTGATTTTTTAACGGGGGCTGGAGCTATGATACGTTTTTATTTTGGCAATGGTAATGACACAGCTGCATAAAAATCACAAATAATAATAGAGTGGTTGACAGTAGAAGTCATTTACACCATTATTTCTCCTTTCTTTTGTCCATTGAAGGGCTGCTAAGACATAGATGCGCCATTATAAAGAGTGCAAGTTCCCTTAGATATTTTAAGCTATTCATTAAATAAGTCCCACTTAAAAGGAAGGATCAACATAGTTCAAACTTTTTTTAAACAAACTCAGCACTGAAACTTTATACAATTGTACAACATTTCTTCAGACATCCATTCCATTAGGAGTTAAAAACTTCGTCAATGAAACATGAAAGTTTGGAAGAAATGCAACTATCTAGGTGTGCCTCAGTTGTCCAGCTAACTAAAACTTATCACTATTTGGTTTTGTCTAAGTCATTCCAAGTAACAAACATCCAATAATTCAGGCTTGCATGCTGTCAAGCCTCTTTTTTACATTCAAGACCAAAAATTGTTTTCTCTCTGCAATGACCTTAAAGTGATAATGGAAAAAACAAAAATCAATTTGTTTCCTAGGCAACAAGCAAGCCCTATTTTGAGTCTTATTAACTCTAAGATTGTGCACATTATGCTTCCAGTCTCAGTCTTTCCTAAGATAAACCTAATCTTGGTCAGCACACAATAGTGATAAATTGCTCATGTCGGCTAATCTCACAATGCTACTTACCTATAAAATGTGTCGACAGGTCAGAGATTACCTCTCTCCAACCTTTTCCAATTTACTGCTGCACTGCAAATGGATTATCAACACACTGATGTGAATGTTAATCACTGTAACTCTTACAAACAAATGTCAGGCATATTATTTATCACAGAATAATGAACTTAAAGCAGATGCAGTCTGCTTACACCACTAAGATGTCACAAAGACAACAGCAATTCAGCTCTAAAGGCAGGGATGTTGATGGTGGTGATCGACATTTAAGGGGGAAAAGGTCTATAATCCTCCTATATCCAATCCATTATGAATTATGGAAACAACTTCCATTAATAGAAATGTATCAAGTTTGGTTATCATTCTTCCAAATAAACCACCACTCTGGTCGAAGATACTTTAACATAAAGTCTCTTGTGCTATATTTTGCACTGTAATAAACAAATGTACATTTTGCAATCAAAAATCACATTGAAATATGCACTAGTTAGTCTCATCTCAACACGATCTTTCACTCTACTAAAGTCATTTGTTTCAAAAGTATATTGTTATGTGAAATAATAGAAAGAATGCAAAAACAAATTGCATGATCAATCTACATAACAGTTTTCTCATTTCACTCTTAAAATGACCAGAATTATAACATTTTCCCTCCTTTCAGAGAAATGCTGACTCTAAAGAAGGGTTATGTCACATGCACAAGTCCATTCTGGTACTTAGCCAAAATAGCAACATTCATATAAATCTTGCTCATGACTTTTGTCATGCTGTTTGATCAGCTGAACCTGACCCTGTCTTATTTGATACCCACACACATGTTGATTGCAAAGGTCTGTATAATGCGTCTGAGACAATATGTGTTTTCATTTCCCTAACACATGCTGAAATCATCCATTTCCACGGGGATCAGTACTGAATCTGGAACTAATTTATATGGTTCAACTCTTCACTGCACAATTTTGGTGAACCATTGGAGGTGTCCCAAAAATATACTGGATTCTTATATTATAATCCAAATGTAGGAGAGTTGGGACCGCTCATTGGTTATGCACTTCTGTGATTGTAGCCTAAAAATTATGTAAAGTCTATCTTTGAGGAATGAGCTAAAAGGTTAGGAAATGGCACATTGGGTGGGATAGTTCTGCACTCATTATAATTAGCGGCTTCTACATACTATGTTAAAGCTTATATTGCAGAATTCATGACCTGCCTTTTCCCTTAGCTTGTCCTCACTTTTAGAAACTGAAAAAGCACAATCATTCAGAGCAGCTGGCGATAAACAATCCACCCAGATCTATACAAAGTCAACAAAAATACACTGGATAAGCAGTGTTGCTGTTAAAAACACTTTGCAAAATGCAGAACTTAAACATAAAGTACCTAAGGAATGGCATGCATTACTTTCAGCAATGATGGGACATAATAACTCAAAGAGGTAAATTATACGCTTCTGAAAATGATGTCAGGGAGCCCACTTCTCATGGTGCCAAAATCAGAGATAGGAAAACACAAGTGTCTTCCCATTAGCTCTTTAATGAAGATAAACAGTCCGTAGGTTAAAAAAGAGTAAAACCAGCTGCATGCTACTAAAATTCCTTGTTTATTTTCAATACCATCATCTCCCAGAGCCCAAACACCATGATAACAATGCCTTTTGACATGCAATTTTAATTAATAATTAATTAATAATTTTAAAGCATTTTAAGAACCATCAATATATTAGATTTTAGGGACTTTTTAAATTTCTTGTTCTCTGGGAAACATCAGCAAATTTAATTTCTTCAGCACTGGAAGCTAATATCATACATATGAAACATACGTTCTTCAAAAATATAAAACCAATGTGCATTTTGAACAGCAGGATGAAGTTTCCTCAACTTTTACTCTTATTCATCTACTGCTTATTTTATGTACAATATAACAATTTAACTCAAGCCATAGATGTCAAATGGTACTGTTATCAGGTGCCTTGGAGTGAGCTCTCTCAATCCAGCACAGCTATTGTTCAACCATGTGTGAGAGAACAATCCTTGACCTTGTCAGCATTTGAAACTAAGGATGAAACTTAGCAATATTGTGATACAGTTGTGCAAAACAAAAATGTGTTTTACTCTTGTGATAAGCAGAAGGATTAGTTTATATTATATTGTAGCAACATGGTTTTCAGCTCCATTCATTCAAGAACATAAATTGTAGCGCAGAGTAAATGTACTTGGAAAATTGCCATGTTGGAGAAATGTCATTGGCATATTTTGTATGGCAGAGTAATTTAAGTCTAATAAAGAGTTTTTCTGGAATTTTCTTATTTTTGATATTTTTGATAATGGAGATTCACAACAAAGTTATGTTAAAGTTTCTGTTAAAAAGCTTTCATATTCAGAAATTAAGTTATTTGACAAGCAAAACGTTGCAGCGAAGTATTGTAGATAGATCATTCATATATCATTGGATAGTCTTTTTTTCCATGAGCACTCTTGTTGCAAATTAAATTTGCTTTTGTGAGGAAATTAAAATCTAGAACCATTTATATATCGTGCCGTTAGGTAATGTACTAGATTGGTCTTTGTGGCAATAATCTACAGTTATAAGGTGACCTTAAAATAGCAAAACATTCCAAAGGGATTCACAGGAGCACTATTGATCAAAAATTGAGACCGAGATACACAAGGAGATACTAAGGTAGATGATTAAATATTTGGACAAAACAGTATGTTTTTAAGGAGTGTCTCAAAGGAGAGAGAGGTAGAGAAATGTAGGGAGGAAACTCTAAATATTACCGCCTTGGAAGCCAAGGGTACAGTTGCTAGTGGTGCAGTATTAAAATGAGGATGTAGAATTGAAGGAATGCAGAGATCTCAAGGTATGTAGGGCTGCAGAATATCAGAAATAGAGTTGTGAGCGTTTGGAGAACATTAATAACAAGCCAATGACAGAACAAAATCAAGCTGAGCAGAAATAATGCAAAACTCTCTTTGTTTTTCTCTGTTCAAGACTGCTTTTTGTTTATCTCAACAAGACATCCCCCTCCTGTATATTGGTAAAATTCCGTTTCTTGTGCTCCAATACATCCAATGATCTATGAAACCAAGACTTTGCATTGAGGTTCAAATTATGATGAATTAAGGCATTTTTCCCATTGACAAGTGAAATCTGTCAAGTAGACTTTGATCAGCCAATGTCATTTCACTTTGTACTCAACAGCTTTTAATGAGAGACTTCCCGCTATTTTCAAACTGATCCAGTCCAATGTTCCAAAAATACTCACTCTAATGATTACTTTACAAGGTTATCAGCTCTATAAATTATGAGACTGCAATGTTTCCCAGTTTTAAGTAATTCATTTATTTATTTGGAAGAAAGAGAGAGAGAAATAGACATGCACAAATTTCACTATCAATAAAGCATATTTCTGGTCTTACCTCACTCCAATACCAAACATTTGGTGAATTCATCATTGACATATTGTAAACTGTGCCATTGAGAAAATATTTTGCTGGAGTATAGGGGTTACATTATGGTGCACAATAGTAATAATTACTGATCTAATAGATAACTACATTGTCATCTTCACTGTTACATTCAGCTGAGTATGCAGACAGGTTATTTCTGGCAAAGGCAAAATTGTTAGTGAAGAGAATGCTGTAAACAAAAGGGCACAAGGCAAATATACATTTTCTCTTCTCACCAGAAACAGTTAATCAGTTAAAGCAAAATGAGAGTCCATAATATTGTAGGATGTTCTATAACAAGCAGCATCATTTTTTTTGCTGTGGAATTAGCACGCTTGTCTAATCTAAAGCTAGTTATTAACAAGTGTACCTGTTACAAAATATTCAAGTCCAGGAAAGGCCTCCTTCCCAACGTAGCTGCACAATGTTCTCTATACCTGTGAAAGTATGGTGTAGATGGTAGATGATACTGTACCTGATTGGCTCTGGTGGTGGTCATGGGGTCAGATGGAGTGGACTTGGTGGTAGTTGGGGAAGATGGCAATGTCTGGGAATAAAGCAATTCAGGAGGAAATCACCAACCTTAAGCCTTATACTGAACAAACCCATGCAATAAATTCCAAACAGTCCAAGGTAGCTTATTTGACTAATATTTTAGGTATAATTTCCATAATTATTTATCCACAGCCACCTCATGCCAATGAAGGATGGATGAGATTTACGATGAAGAGCTGGTGTCTAGAGAAATACTGTGTTTCTCGCCAATATGTTTTAAATTATGAAGCCATTATGATGATTCAATAGGTTTCAATAGATGATACATTTTCAGTTATTGCTACCCACTGTAGCAAATGTAGAACACAACAAATACACAATTTTTTGAACATAAGCAAATATCATGAATAACTTTGACTAAATTCTGTAAGTTTGAACAACATTTCTCCGCACACATTTCTGTAAAATTAATTTTCCGAAAATCTATCTCTTTGAACTAGAGTTGTAATAGCAGTAAAATGCCTTATCAATGTATATGTTAAGTAAATGTCACATATACCATGCTGACAGTTCAAAGAGATGTAGACTCATGTCAGCTAGGACTGCTGTAAGAGGACTCACGGGACTTTCCTTGGTATTGAGTCTAATATTGGTTCAATGTGAATTAACCCATAAACAAGACTTCATATGAGCAGATTGTACTGTAAAATCAGTATGCTATGCCAAATGAAGATATTCAAATCCTCAAACTAGTCTTTAAAAGTTAGTTGAAGTCAGGAAGTAAATTATAAATTGACGAGTATCCCAGAAGACTTTTTGAGATTTAAAACTTAAAATAGATTATTTTACTACATATAAAGTTACCCTTTAAAATGTGTAAAATAAATATAAGCTTAGAAGAATGTGATCATCAATATATCTGATTTTCTCAGAAATAAGCATTCAAATTATTTTCTTGTTTGCCACTTTTTGCAAGTTTTTCATGTGTTGTAGAAATGTTACTCAAAAAGATTAAAGTCAGAAGTCACACAGCACCTGGTTATATCCAACAGGTTTATTTGGAATTTATCTAAAACCTGTTGGACTATAAACTGGTGTTGTGACTTCTGACTTTGTCCATCCCAGTCCAACACCGGCACCTCCATATCAAAAAGATTAAAGGAAGACTGTCTGCAAAAGAATCCTATTTGATGATATCTGGAATGGGAAAATGACTGAGTCCCGTTTACAATTTCAAATATGTTCAGTCCAGTGTGAAATCTGTGAAAACTTGTACAAGGAAAATTTGGACATTTTTAACAGTCAAGTAGCTTTGCCTTCAAAAATGTTAAGCTCCGAATGTGCAATGGAGTTTGTGAAAAATTCATATGGAGGATTAAAAAGTTCCATTAATACTTAAAGAATGCAAAACCACATCAAAAAGCCATTTTGTGCACTGTAATTTTCACTTGTTAAAGTTGTTTTGTGGATAGGGCTGTTTTTACAGGAGGCAAGGAGAAAGAGGCAGCAAAAAAAAGACACAGTTACTAACTGCATAATTGGATTACTGAATCCTCTGACCTCTCTCCTGTCCTATACAGGTAGTGAAGACATTACAGCATCACTTACATATAAAGTAAAAGGAAACAGAACAAATAAGATGCACAAGACTAGAATGAGAAGTGCCATTTAAATCAGAATAACAGAATATGGAAAACAAAGGAAGGATTAAGTCTTCCTCGCTTGAAAAAGAACAGTTCTTCCAAGAACAAAAACATTCATTTTACAGAGGCAGAATTCACGCAGATATAAAGTTTAACAGTAGAAAAAACATCAACATTCAACTAAAACAGAAAACTTCTACGTAAAACTAAAACAAAATGACAACACTGTTCAGCAGTCCACCAGACTGAGTGATTACTCTTTCAGACACAATTCTGACCTCCATGTCAGGAGAATACAGGAGAATTGAGTTGATGGGCAATGCCTGTGCCCCTGTGAGGAGATAGAGCTTTAATGAGTTGGTATGCTATCCATTCAACTTGGGGCAAAGACAGTATTTAGTTACCTGGTTAGGCTGCAAGAGAACCATTCTCAAATAATAGCTGTCCATGTTTGGGGCAGTAGCATATGTTTTAAGGCAGCATTTGTGCAAACTTTTGTGGCACAATACATTCCTTTAAACATTTGCCTTGCCCCCTCTTTATTGTAGTTTTTATGTAGTTTGCCTATTTGTCTGACACTTTCATAGAGTGGAAAATAAACCTCTCAGCGCACTGCTCCAAGAAATGAAGTGCTTTGCACCTGAGATATGCTCTTTCTTCCCTGTATTCCAGTTGCTCTCTGACCACCAAACCTTGGCAAACCACACTCCCCACTAGGACACTCAGACTAACAACGTATAACTTTAATGTGTAATGACACTAAGACACCAACATCTGAATGTAAAAATTGTGATTCATCAATGTTCTGTTCGTAGACACCAAGCCCCAGATAAGTTCAACTGAAATTGCATTGCATGAAAATGTTTACTTAAATTTCCCCCTTTTTTTTTTCTTTTATGTCGCCAAACAGGTATTCTAATGGCCAGAGCAGCACAGGTTGGAACTACACATCAGAGCCACGTGGATTCTCCATGCAGGTGACTCACTGGGAATTGACCAGCAAATTTACATTTTCTCAAGGGCAATTCCCCTGTACCTGGAATCCAAGAATCCATTAATGTCAGAGAATTCAGAGGTTTCCAAATCAATTGCACTTAGTAGTTACCGAGGAAAAGTTAAAAGATTAAACATCTCTTCTCACCCCTGGATAAGCATTCATGTGACCCCTTAACTCACAAATGAACTTTCTACTTCCCCCACCAATATGTTCCCATCAGTAAACATTTGGCATACTCTTTTTTTTTTGTGGGGGCGGGGGAAAAAGGGGTCAGGGAGTCATGGCTGATTGCAATTTGCACTTCCATGGCCGACAAAGGTGATTGCAAATGCTAAAGTGAAATCCAAAGTACAATGTGCACTTTAGACTTATCAGAAGCAAGTCCAAAGCTGTTAGGGTTCTTTTCAGAGGTGGGGTACCCTTCTGGATAGATTCAGGGACATCTTTAGAAGAGGTAAATTGTAATTAGGGAGAGTTGTCTGAAATTCAAGTGTCGTTTAAAATTATTAAAATTAGACATGAATGTGCATGAAAAGTGGATAAACTCATTAAAATTGGGAAGCTCATTAGAACTGTCAAACTGTTGAGGAAGTTGTCAGTCTGGCAAGTGAGATGTCAAAGGGAGTGATTAACATAGGTGTCAAACTGTCAAGCAATGTAAATGTCCTTGCCATTAAAATTTGAAACAATAACTGACTGCATTGTAAAAGAAAATCAGGACTTACTATTTCACTCTGGCTGTTGAAATAAGGCTGAGAGTAATAATTACAGGGCTTCTGTTGCACAACTGATTTCACGAACTAGGATGCCTGTCAGTTCACAGTTTTATTGACAGCTCCAAGCACTTAAGAAGGTTTTTGGAGCAGGACTATGAATTCAAATGCATGATTTTAATAAGGAATTAAATAGTTGAATGAAGTTAACTGTAGCATTTTTGTTTTGTTGATGTGTGTGTTTATTAACATAGTGAATTAATTATTAGACATTTATAACGTTATTTTGTTTCATCTCAACATGCATCCTGAGTTCTGCCCATGGTGGATACTGAATGAGTTGCTATGGAGGTGTAAGGGCAAAGAATGGTGGGTGAGGAGGCATGCCTTGAAGTTAGAATAGGGAATATCAAGAGCAATGGAATGGATGGAAGGGAATAGTTTGCCATGCAAGGTATGAGGAGTAGGTGGGAAGCGGGACCTGAAATGAGTAGACATTGATTGGGCATGTGGTGAGAGGAGAGGTCTGATTTTTGATGTATTGTTTATTTTGAAGCTGGTCAAAGTGTTGGAGTACTGAGATTGGGCTTTCTTGCAGCCTAGCTCCATACCCAGCATTCCCAGAGGATTATTCTGCATTCCTTTCAGGAGCTGCAGACCTGATTTTGATTTATAACCCACAGCCACACAACAAAAATCAGTGGGGATACTTCCCATTGGTTGGCAAAGTTGGGAACTTTTTTGCGACTCTGCAATCCTGACCCAGTAATGAATATTTAGGTCGATGTTTTATTGCCAGTTTCCCTTGGTTGATTGTTCTCTGGTTAAAGAGGCAGGCAGCTTGATGCCAGGCTGCTATTACTCCAGTGACAGCAACCAAAAGTAAACCTCTCTCCTGGACTGTGTTAATTTGCTCTACATGACTGCAAAAATGACGCTGAAAATGTCATGTATGGAGGGCAGTAGCCACAATCTTGTACTGCAAGACCAATATTAATTATCCAGTGTGCACATTTTTCATAAAACTAAGTTTTGAAACAAATCATTTAATACTGAATATTTAATGCTAATCTTAATTCCTGTTTAAGAGTTGTAATTTACTTTTATCTCCAAGAAATTAGTCTAGAAAATAAATGTATTCAAAGTTTCCATATATTGTGATACTCAATCTGATGTTATTTAAATCACGTACTGCAAAGGAAAGCTGATCTACAAATTAATCTTAAAATTCTCATTCATAGCAGCTTTGGTTTTAGAAAATCCTTTAGAAATGTCAATTGGTAACTTGAAAACATACACTTAATTTCACAGAGCGACCGGTGATGTTGAAGCTGTAAAGGATATTATTCACACTCAAGACCACAAAATAAATGATATTATGGCACCAAAAAAAAAATTCCATGTAGGAACTAAACAGGAACCACAAATTTGAAAAATATCTTATTCCAATTGCAGAACAGACTGGAAAATGAAGGAACGCTGTGGTAAATACAACTTGTACCATGGGGCTAAGGTAAATAATGCACTCTTGACTTTATTGTTTCACGAAGACACAATGATTTACATAATCATTAATCTCTGGATAAGCAGATGATGGGCACATTTAAGCTGCATGGAACAATATTTTCTCTTTCATATGAAAAGGTTTCGTGTTTTCCCATATTTCTTCACATACAAGTATTGCAGACAATCTCCCTTTAACAATATGCTTGGTTAAGAAAATTCTTACACCTTGAGACTTAGTTAAATTAGAAGATTCAAATAGGTTAAAAAATTTCCATTCTCATAAAGTGGGCACAAATTATTCACCAAGTGGCAGAAATATATCCTGGCCTTCTTTCAATTTCATAAAGCTAAATTAATAATCACTGCCTGAAAGTCATGAGCACGGATTTGAGATGGTGGTGGGAGCTGGCTGAGTAATAATCATTAACTGATCATCCAGTTAAAATACGTGGAGTCAAAGAGGTTCCTTTATTAATTTACTGATAACCATCATAATTTTGCAATCTCTTTGAACTGGCTTGTAATCTTATCACTGTCATAGTTTTATCAGTCACATGACAGTGGACTTGCTGCCATACCCCTCCTCCACCACCAAATGCGCTTACTAATTCTATTTCAAAATAGCAGACATATTTTATGTTATTAATAGCTTACTTGTTTGATGCGATCTGGGTTCACGGTGGTCTGAGGCTGCAGGATGCTAACTGGTTCTGTCTTTGCCACATTCTGAGGCATTTCTCGTATCTTCTCTGCAATGAAGCTGTGAACAGCATTCAGAGCTTCAACTGTTCCCTGGATCAGGCAGACACGCTCTGTCGTTCCTGAAATGTAATGCAAAAAAATCAAAGTGAATAAAGAAACAAAGACTGGTAGGCTGTCTAGGTGCACAAAGACAATCAAGATTTTATTGGCTTTTTTTAATATAAAATAACAGAGAAAAAATACTGGTTATATTTAAGTAAATTTTCAAATATCATGCAACACCATGTGTCAGATCGGAGCTTTATGCACAAATAATGCCAAGTGGAATTAAGAGGAATTTGGTCATGTGAATAGAAAGATGGGCAGAGGGCAGAAAGCAAAGGACAGAGATAAAATTATGCTTGATAATTTTTGACAATTAGAAATCCCTGTGGTGGAATCGTGCAGAATTGGTAGAAAAGTTCCCTGGTTGACTATCAACTCACTGAAATGGTCAGGAATGCTCCTTGCATAGCAGACATGTTCCAGCAAGGACTTGAACTTAGAGATTCCAGCCCAGAGGTAGGGATGCTACCACTCTGCCACAAGACCTCCATATAGTTATTGTTTCTAAAAATAATTGAATAGTAATTGGTATGGAAAGTGAACAGGTGACTGGTATTAGACTAAGTGGCTCATCTGGAAAAAGTTGTCATAGTTGAATCATCTGTTTCTATACTGGAATGCTTCTTAATAATATTTGAACCTTGGTCAAACACAAGGGAACAGAAAAGTATTGCATGAGTCGTGAGCATTGAGGGTTTGTATACTTTGGAGGAGAGACTGAGTTGGGAAGAATATGTTGATTGAGCTTCAAAAGGGGCAGGTTGTATATTAGACTGACTGGGATCTTGGATGTGAATATCTTAGTTGGTCTTGGAGCACTTGGAAATATGATTACTAAATAGCAGAAATGATAGCAATGCACACTGTGGAGATAGGTAAGGAATAATAAGTGATAAACAGTTTGTCAGAAGCAGTGATAGAAAGACTTGCTGTTCATGTTGGACTCAATCTACGTTTACACAAAAAGGAGGAATAGGCACAAATTGACACTGGACAGGTTCCAGATAAATCAGTTGATAAACATACTGCCCAGTAAGGAACTAGGCAGGTAGACCTGGATGGTCCAAGTTCAGTCTCTATTCTGTGCTGAATTGATATTGAGATAGCACAGGTTTTACAAACCAGTTTGGATCCCCTTGGGTTGGGAAAGGTGGGGTTGGGAGGTTATGGGCGTCAGGTGGGAGGGCCTGCTTGTTGTTTGCAACTGCTGGAAAATACTCTTTAGCAGATGTTAGGTGAGAACAGAATTGTACAATGACTGATTTTAAAATAAGTAAAATTCACCAGGTAACGTATGTAAATGATCTGAGAAAGATAGTTTACAGAGACAAAACACCCCGACTATAAATATAATCATGTTGGCTCGCAAAACACAGCAAAGTCTGACTTTTTCCAGCAGTTTGTAATGAATAAACATTTCATTGAAAAGCTTAAAGGAGAATAATTGAGATTAAAACATATATACATGCAGCAGAAATAATTGTGAATAAGAAAAGAAAATAAATGTGGATTTATTTACAAATTTACAGTACAACTCCAGCACGTGTATAGCAACAGTATTTGCAGGAAATCCCAAACCACTGTGGTCTTCCCTGAAAACATAAATATTTTTCCACATCATCATCAATTGTTGTGAATTACTTAATTAAACCATATAACCACTGCTCCAATAACAATTCTGTATACAAACAGACATTTTATGCAACACGTGGGTTGATTTTTCAATCAGGCTCGGGAACACAATGCCCAGATAATTTCTGGGTACTGTCCCAGCGTTTTGTCGGTGATGTGGTCGTGATAGATCAATACTGTATTGGGGCTGGAGGAATGTACAGTGCAAATATCTACCAAAATGGCAGCAGCTTGACGCACAGCATGAACGGTAAAGGCAAATGGCAGCCATGATGGCACTTACCAATGCTTTGCTGAGGACAGCAGGCAGCTCCTCAGAGGGGCACCAGCCTCACCAAGCACAAATGTGGCCAAATAGCTAAATGGAAAGCAAAAGTGCATGATCCAGCCCAGAGTCCCATATTTCTGGACATCTAACATAAAACACACTTTTACCAGCTGTGAACCCAGCAGCTATACACCACTGAGGCTGGAAGCTGCAAAAAAAAACCTTATTTTTCTCTCAGTTCTGTTTCCGAGAACTACTAAACGCTGCCACATGAATTCATTCCTCCCTCTGCCATCAAAGACAGGTTTAAACTTGCAATTATTCTGACATAAAGTGGAACAGAATGGGAGGAGAGACTGAGATTTCAAAATGTCAGGATATTCACTAATGGCATTTATCAACCAAATTGACTTAAATATGGATATGATTCAAGCAGTCAAAAACGTCAAGGTACGTTTGTGTTGAAAAGTCTCTAGGAAAGTTTGTAATAAAATTAACATTACTAGCGGGGGACTCTTTCTAATTTTAAGCCCAATCTCTCATCAAACAGTTCAATGCATTCACCGTAGACACCAATAATTACCTCCAGAAATCATTCATATGATTCGATCCAGTGGTCTTCCCTGGTAAGTCATGGGCCTTTTTAATGAAATATTTCTGCCTGAATTCTTTAATTTTCACAATTATGAATTAATTCCCATTTTATCTAAACATTTTTGTGAGAAATTAGACATGAATTATTATTTGTCCAAAAGTCTAAATTAAAATCAAACTTTGAAAAGATCGATAATGCTGTTCCATATAAATCAAAACATATTTATCTGTTACCCAACCTCAATTTTATGATACTTTGATCCTATTTTAATTCTTATCTTTTTCTGATGATGCTGTTACAGTTCCCCAGAGGTCAACTTTAAGAAGAACATTGATTTACTTTCAAGAAAGGGGCTCAAGGGAGTCTTCAGATCGAAAGCATTAATTCTCTACTAAATGATGGCACGCGATATGGATTGATCAATATAGTTAACATAAGCATTCTACAGAAGGTCAACAGACAACATATGAAAACAAAACAAAGATCATGTTACAGTCCCAGTGTTGAACCTAGACTAAAAGGCAGCATGTCAGACAGGGGAGGAAAAGAACACATGTGCAATGTTCATGCACCTTTTCCTCCTGAATAGGGAAATGATATGAATGCTTGTATAAAGTATTCAACATGCAGTCAACTGTTTCAAAAGTTAGTCTAGTTTTTTTTTCAAACCAGCCCAATGTAATTTTCATCTGTCCATTATTGAAATAGTGTTATTTGTCTAATCACAGACCCATAAAACAAACTGTTGAACAGAAAATAATATCTAGAAATATCAGCACTTTTAATACATTCATTTTGAATGTTAACAATGTATATGGAAAAATAACTCAAATTAACAATGGCTTTACTTACATTCAGTGGGAATCATTAACCAAGTGGAAACATTCCAGCAATTAATACATTAGTTAAACCATTTGACATTTAATGTACAATTAAGATATCAGCAGAATTGCAGATCAATAATAACTGTGAATTAGAAAATATGGGATGCCTTTCAATACCTGAAAAATAAATGGGACGAGGTCTAGTCAAATGTTAAAAATTTGAAATGTTGCAAAAAATGTGAAATACACTTCCAACCTGCCCGTTTCTGGGTTTAATGAAGGTCTGGCAAGGGGTATGCAGCCAAAGATCACAGGAGATGGTTTGTGCAGTTAAAAATGAATGCAGGAGCAGGACTAGGCTATTCAGGCCAGGAAGCTTGCCTGGACATTCTAGATCACCGTTGGGTATCTCCTTTATGTCACTTTCGTACACGACTTCCAATTCACTTAATGCCATTAGTCTCCAACAATCTATTGATTTTTGTCCTGCTCAATAACCTGGCCTGTTGGGGCAGTGAATTCCAAACATTTACCAGCCTCTCAGTAAAGAACTTCATCCTCATCTCAGCCTAAATGGCCTGCCCCGAGATATTTCCCCAATTCTTGAGTCACCAGCTAGGGAAAATATCATATCTTATCCATTCTGTCATGCCCTAAAAGAATTTTATAAGTTTCAATGAGATCACATCTCTATTTTTGAAACTAGATAATACAGACCCAATTTTCTCAATCTCTCCTAATCAGACAATTTTTTTTCCTTTATGGGTGTCACTGGCTAGGCAGCATTTATTGCCCATCCCTAATTGCCCAGTTAAGAGCCCAACGCATTGCTGTGGGTCTGGAGTCATATGCAGGCCAGACCAGGTGAGGATGGCAATTTCCTTCCCTAAAGGGCATTAGTGAACCAGATGGGTTTTTCCAACAATAGACAATGATCATTCCTGGTCATCATTAGACTCTTAATTCCAGATATTTATTGAATGAAAATTCCATCATCTGCTGTGGCAGGATTTGAACCCAGGTCCTCAGAATGTTATCTGCATCTCTGGATTAACAGTCCAGCGATAATACCACTCAGCCATCCTGCCATCCCAAGGATTAATCTGGTCAATTTCCATTGCCCTCTTTCTTTCCTTAGATAAGGAAACCAAAACGTTATACAATAATCCAAAGTAAGACTCCCTAAGGCAGTAAGACGTCTTCTGTACTCAAATCCCCTTGAAGTGAATGCCTACATACCATTAGCCTTTCTAAATGTTTGCTGCTCTGCTTACTAGTTTTTTTGTGACTCACGGAGAAGGATACCCATGTTCCTTCGGGCACCTGCACTTCCCATCATCTTACCAGGTAAGAAATATTGTGTCTTTCTGTGTTTTCTCCCAAAATGAATAACTCAACACTTACTTACAGTATTTTCCATCTGCGTTAGTCTAACTCATTCCATTAGTGCTAATCATCTTTGAGCCTCTTGCACGCTCCTTACAACTTATGTTTCTACCCAGTTTGATATTAGCAAATTTAGAAATATTACAACTGGCCACACATCCAAATCATTTATAGAGATTGTGAACAATTGTAGTCTTAGCACTAACAGTTGCAGTAACAGACTAGCAATAGTTTGCCATCCTGAGAATGATTGTTTCTTCCTATTCTCTGCTTTCTATTAATTAAATTGTGATCCATATTAGTACAATT